GCATGCAGTCGCTGTGTTGTGCATGCAGTCTCTGTGTTGTGCATAGAGTCACTATGAATTGGAACCCACTCATCAGCACCTAACAACAAGTTAGAGGAGGAAGAGGCATTTTACAGAGAAGGTACCAGTGAGAAGACCACACCCGTGGAAAGCAGGCTGCCTTTGTGATGCCCTGTTTGAAATCAGAGTACATAGAGAACATATGGAGTCATGTTTTACAGGAACTCAGGTTTCAGGGCAACCATTGCAAACAACTTTTGACCATGAGGAAGCAAACAAAACACTAAGGTTCCTAAGTCTTAGGCCAATCTAACGATGTCTTTCTTAACTAAACAGTCAGCCGGGCCTGACTTTTAACAACAGTCAGGTAAATAAGACTTTCTATATGATCTGGCCCTTTGAGGTGACATCCACACCCAACCTGTCTGCTTTTAAGCATTGTAGCAAGTTATAAAAATTTCCCAGAGACAGAGTTCAGTAAAGCACCTTAGGCTAACTGCTGTTGGTAAGGGGGTGCTTCTAGCGACATTAACTACAAGAACTTGGGTGACACATTCATAGACACTGCTCATTACGTCATTTCCTCAGAGCCCTGCTTCCTTGGCCTTGATTTGATCTCAGTGTCATTAGACTATAGCTCTCTGCAGAGCTTCCTATGGAATTGGGAAGACAACGACTAAGGAAGTAGGTTATCCATTATGGAGAAAAGGCTAATAAATGGGTTCAGGAAGTGGGTGTGGCTGAAGGCCAGGTTGGCACTGTATCATAGCACCCCTTGCCAGAAACGAAGGCAGCACAAGCATGCTCGTCGTACTGCCTCTGCTCGGAGCCCTTTCCAGGCACAGAACTCCATTCACCTTGTGCTGATTTTGGAAGCAAAGCCAACAGCCCCTGGTACTCAGGGAGCTAAAGTGTACAAGCCAGAAAAGGCAGACCGTGAACCCCAGAAGTTAACACCCTTTATCAAACTGAATAGGAAGGATGACAGGGACCGTTTTGTTTGTGACTTGTACTAGACTATCTTTCAGTGCTTGGTTCACTCTAAAATAATATTAATACTTTTTTTAAAGGATTGTCAAGAAAGGAAAGCTACTGGCATTGTAAACAGTAAAAAGCAAACATAACAAACAAAGCTTTGGATACTAATTTTTAATCTTATTGGTGCGGCAGATGGGGATGTCACCCTGATGCTTAAATGATGTCCTTTAATCCAGCATAAGACAGTGGTAACCGGAACAACACCATCTTCATTTGTGAAGGACGTAACAGGAAGGTTTGAATAATATCAGTCAGATCCCAATCAAGCTTAAGAGTCACAAGAAATTGCTAGATGTCAGTACTTCGGGAGAATTGTTTTATTCTGGTTGCTCAGTTGATACATGGCAGGATAATTGAATAGAAGATTCACGATTTAGAATTAGTTTCCATCCAATCAGCGCTGACCCAGGCAGACCCCACATGTGTACCAGTAGAACGATGCTCCATAGAGTTTGTTGTGGCTGATTTTTCAGAAGTTGTTTGCCGTTTTTTTCTCTCAAGACCCCTCTCAGTGGGCTCCAATCACTAACTGGTGAGCAAGCAAGTTTGTTAAACACTTTAGCACCCAGGGACTCGGGGTCTTATACTTCAAACCAAACCCACTGCCTTCAGGTTGATTCTGCCTCATAGCCACCCTCCAGGACAGAGGGGAACTGCTTCCTAGGGTTTCCACGGCTGCTTATGTTTACAGGTGGCCTCAGCTTGTTCTGCATCTGGGTTTATAAACTGCTGACCTTTTTGTTCACAGCCCAAATGCTCAACTCACTGCATCACCAAGAGCCCTTGATTCTATAGTAAGGTTATCATAACTGTAGAAAACCAAAAACGCAATTCCACTGTTATCTAATTAACTGAGACTCATCTGACTCGCTGGGCCCCTGAATGGGGTCTCCAAGGCTACACATCTTTTTTTTTCTTTTGAATCTCAGCACCATTGAAAATTTAGATTCTTTTTTTTACACCCCCCCCCAAACCATTTTATTGAGAGTTGTTAATACAGATATCATAGCATTCCATCATTCAATCACATCAAGCAGTATTGTACAAGGGCTACCACAATCAGTTGCAGAACATTCTTTTCATTCCTGGACTCCTTGACATCAGCTGCCTTTTGCCCGCCCCCACCCCACCTCCACCCCCACCCCACCCCCTTTGATGGCTGCTTGTTTGGAAACAAGCCTTTAAGACCCCAGACACTAGGTTATCTGATAGCCAGGCACCATCTAATTTCTTCACCACATTTTGCTACAGCACGAGTATCTTCTGTGTTCCCTTCCTGAGGACGAGTATCAAGCAGGACCATGATGTAAAAGTTAATTGTTCTTAAATTGGAGCTAGGATTTAGTACGAGCCACAAACCCATTCCTGGATCTATGTTTGTTTGTTTTAATCTGCCTTTGGCTCCCTTTCGAAACCTCCTTGTTCATTTATGGTACAGAGTCTTAATGATCATCCCCTTGGGACATAATAATCTTCTGTTGATATTGTCTTTGATTAGCCCCAGGTACTAATTTTTAAAAGCCCTGTTAAGAGAGGGATATTGGGCCCATGTAGGCTAACTCCCTTGTACAGAATCAATCCTTTCCAGACTGGAGTGGGTGACTCTTCAGCCATCAACTCTTGAGCACCCTTCAAATCCAACAGTGATACTGGAAAGTGATTCTCTGGTGTCTGGTAGCCTCCCCTCTAGAGCAGTGGTTCTCAACCTTCCTCATGCTGCGACCCTTTCAGAGTTCCTCGGGTTGTGCTGACCTCCGCCCCCAACCATAAAATTATTTTTTGTTGCTACTTCATCACTATCATTTTGCTACTGTTGTGAATTGGGCAACCCCTGTGAAAGGGTCGTTCGACCCCCAAAGGGGTCATGACCCACAGGTTGAGAACCGCAGCTCTAGACGGAGCGCTGAAGATGGGAAAGGAGGCTTGAGCGTTCCCATGGTCCCAGCGCCTACTCCCTAAGGCTGATTTTGGGTCCAAATTCACAGGCTGCATCCATCTTCTCCCAAGGCCGCAGGCCCCATTTCTCAGCACCACCAACCAGCCTTGCTCTGAGGCTGGGGAGACGGGGCACTAGTTGGGGACCATGAGTTGGCGATTCTCGCTGGACTCTCACCCCAAAGGATAAAGGGGCCAGGGAAAGACCTGTGTATTCCCAGCAGGAAGGTACTAGCCGCCCTTCTCCATCAGAAGCTCCCCTCCCACCCAAACGCTCCACCATCAGCCGTCCCCAGAACCCTCGAGAGCAACCCCCGCTGGCCTCCACCACCCTCCTGCCTCGACCTCCCTTCCTGTCTCAGCCTCCTCCCTCAGCCTCCTCCCTCGGCCTCCACCACCCCTCCTCTCGCCCTGGTCCTCCAGCCTCCTCCCCGAGCCTCCACCCCCATTCCTCCTCAGCCTCCTCCCTCGGACTCGACCTCCTGCGTCCCTCTGCCTCCTCTCCAGGCTGCGGGGCCCGGCCCCGCCCTGCGTGCCCTGAGTCTGTGCCGTCTTGCTCGCCTGCCGTCCCTCGATATCCAATTTTCACTGGCATATAAGGTAATTAAAAATACCAAGGCTTGGGTCAGGCACACGTAGTTAGTCTTCAAAGTAACGTTCTTGCTTGTCAACACGTTCAGGAGGTCTTGTGCAGCAGATTTATGCAATGCAATGAGTCATTTGATCTCTTGAAACCTCAGAGACTGTAAATCTCTACCAACGCAGACAGCCTCAACTTTCCCCTGGGGAGTGGCTGATGGGTTTGAACCGCTGTGGGTTTGCTTAATCCACAGAACCACCAGGAGTCCTTCTGTAAAGAGAAACCTATGGGGCAGTTTGACGCTACCCAATGGGGTCATTATGCATAGGAATCAACACAATAGCAAAGGGTTTCTTTCTTTTTTGAAGAAAAATAAGGCAGAGCAAAGCCAAGAAATCCTAGAACTGAATTTCACACATTTTAAACTATCGTAGAGCTATAAAAATTAAATTAGCAGCAAAGTATCCTGGCTATACTTCTTCCTCTTCCTCTAAACTTGACGTGGTCTCCAGGTAATAGCGACTTATTCATTTTTATTTGGCAAATATTTGCGAAAGCAAGAAAATATGGGGCTTTCCTCTTTTCCCGTCATGAAAGTGCTAGTTTGATTTCAGCTTGGAGCCCAGGTTCCATATTGTGTATTTTGAGGGCCATTTGGGATGTGTCACTCAGAGGTTTGTGATGACTCATGCCACAGATCTCGGTGGTTTGGCACGATAGACCATCCTGACATTCATTTCCATAAAGAAAGCTTTGTTGTTGAAGAGCTAAGTGACTGACAGGGACACGTATGAAGATATGAAGAAGGGCTCCAGGGCAAGCTACTCGTGGGCCCTGGGTTGATAAACCTTATTTAAAAGCCAAATTTATAAAGTTAGGATAGACGATCGGTGATTTGGCCAAACGCCTCATCCCCTACATTAAAGAGCAAAGCCCCAGTTTGCTTGGCTGAACTCAGACGTTTTCAAACGGGTATCGCCACCGCCATCTAGTGGGATAATTGTAAATCTCACAACCTCCTGTGAAATCTCTAAAAGTCTTTGCCATAACCCAGACTTAAATGTAGTAGCTAAGTGCAGAAGTGACCTGTGAGGTCTGATACATATACGTATATTTTATATAAATATATAATATGTTCATCTTCTGAAATAAGGATGGAAAGATCCAGGACACTATTGTCAAATGTAATAGGAAAGCTCGCCCAGGATAATTCAAGAGCAAAATGTGTTATACCCTGGCGATATAGAATGCTTTCTAGTCTTTCTAAGTCTAGAAGTTCTGCTGAAACCTGGTTAACATCCTAGCAATACTGTGAGCTTTCCTTACAGTGTCTCCACTGATAGACGGGTGACAGAGGCTCTGGCAAGAACTTAACTCAGGTCTCCATTGCGGGAGGCAATAATTCTACCAGAGAGCCATATTTCCTCCAAGATAAAAACACACATTAAAGCTTGCTGAAAATATCATTTTATTATAAACAATATAATAAACACGTCCTACCTAAGAACATGGTACAAAATGATAAACTTTCTTTGCCTGAGTTTTTATAAACAAGATCTCTCAGCTCGAGAGTCCTTCTCTTGATGCCCATTCATGCAGTCAGTGTCTACGGATCTGCCCACTGTGGTCCTCGGCACAGGGAAGTGCTGGCCACATCTTCAAGATCAACACTTAGTAGACCATCCTCCAAAAGAACATCTCATTTTAATGCATATATTTCCAATGTATGAGATAAATTTGTACTCCAACACACAAGCATTCCCCAAACAGCCTACTTATCCAAAGCGAACTGGATGACGAAAAGGCTTATCTATATATAATGGGGTTTAATCATTCTTGTAGCCATAAATGATCAAATGATGTATACTTTAAAAGTAGTATGTGCCCTTACAACACTTGGTGACCATTTTTCTTCTTTACTTTTTGAGAGTTGAGAGCCCTGAAATAATTTTTGAAAATTGAAAATTGTCTCTTTGTTTTCTATAAATATGCAAAGAGATATTTGTTTTGAGTGTGGCCTTTGCATCATTATCAAAAGTGGAAATGAAACACAGTTGAAAGGCCAAGTACCCTCTTCAGCATCAGTCATAGCTCTGGTGACTCTGACATTTATTTTAATGTCTGTCTGGAGATGGACATAAACATCAGAATCTTCTTGTTAAGAAAAAGAAATTACTTGCTTTTCAGAAAAGTTATCTGCAATATATTTATCACAGACATGTCACCTTGGTTGCTTTTTGTTTCACGGAGGGCTACCATACGTACTTTAAAAATCTATTCTCATACTACCTTGTATTTTTTCATAAAGACGACATTAATGGCATACATCTGATTTACTTTTATGGCTTTGCAAACTTTTAATAAATAGCTTAACTTTTTGATAGACCATGTATCTCATTTTGCGAATGGGAAATTCCAGCAAGTGTTACAACACAAGAATCAGATGATCTTTGCGCATGCTGATTCTCATTACTTTAAAAATTCTTCAGGGTGGTTCCAGCCACGCATAGCCCTATAGATACTACATATTCAAAGATAACTTACTGAAGCTTGTTCACAGAACTAAGCTTTCCCCTGATATCAGCCTGTGTCCCCCACCTCCAATACCTCTAGAAGTATTTTTTTCAAATATTCTCCAGGATTTAAATTACAAATCTTTAAAGCACAGCTAACACAACAATATAGAGTTGGTTAGCAAGATGCGAACAACGCGGCTGCTCCACATGCTGTATTCAAACTGTATGCGTCCGCTGAAAAAATGGATATAACCTAGGAGGAAAGAAGATGATAAAGAACATCTTAGAGTTTGAAATTAATTACATTGACTCCAGCTAGCATTAAAGATCCCGTCTCTTAAATCTTACTCTTTCTTTAAAAAACATGCTGATCTTTGTCCATGTACACTTTCCTGCTGCTTCCAGGGACATTTCGCACTGCCATCGAGTCCATTTGACTCACAGCAACCCCGACAGGTCACGGTAGGACTAGGGTTTCCAAGACTAGCTCTTGGCAGGAGTAGAAAGTCTCACCTTTCTCCCACAGAGCAGCTGGTGGATTTAAACTGAGAACCTTATGGTTAACAGCCCAACACATTAGCCACTATGCCACCAGGGCTCCTACCAAGATATATATATGGTATATATTATATATATATCATGGAGTATATGGAAAAATGCCCTTATCTTTTAAGTCCATTTTCCCACAATTTTTTGAAGCATCTCTCTCTCTCAACCCTCCTCTCTCTATATATATTATAAAAGTTCTAAGGCCCCCTAAATTTTCACCTAGAACTTCCCATGAATTCTAATTTTGAAACTTCAATTACTAATGTTAGTGTACTTTGTTGGGAAGAATTTCTTTTCATAATTAAAGAAGAAAATCGTTATATAATTATGATAGCTTCATATCTTTATATAGAAATCAATCCTCACTCAATCTTAATTCAGTCAAGGTTCTTGGCATCTTTAGTATCTTTCATCATAATTTAGTGCTTAAGTTACTGCGACGGGGTTCTGGTGGCCCACTGAATTAGGTGAGGCCCACACAAACAGTTCTCTTCTGCCGTGGGGGTCACCGTGAGTGGGAATTGCCCTGATGTCAGTGAGTTTGGTTTGAGGAAATTAGAGCATTCTTTCATTGATGCAATAAACAGTCATTCCGTCCGATTCTCAGTCATTCTAAGGTGGCTATTTTTCCTTTGCTTTTGTAAATAAGCATTCAAGAATCGTTCATTCTTTAATGGGCATATCGTTATTAGCACATCTAAACCCTATATAGAAAGAAAGGTTTATAAGACAAAGTGTTTTGAGAGGCCACAGAAGTCCTCTTTTAAGGTCAATGCAATGAAACTGGTTACCATTTTCCTCATAGACAGCATCGACTTTATCACCAATTCCTGGGAACTCCTCTTCTATTAGTCGGGGGTAGTCTTTATCCATAATATGGTTAATATCATCGTAGCTATTGAATAAGGAAGAGAAATTCCTAAGTGAGTTAGGTTACTCTTATACAATTTCTTAGACAGTTTACACTACATATAAAGGCATCTTTCAAAACTTATGAGGATTTTAAGAATTTAAGTACATTTTAACATGTGGTGGCTTTCTACACTGATGTGTGACACGGAGTGTGTTTGTGGGTGAGGTACTTGGTGAGTGTTTGTTGACTTGTGCAAAAGCCATTTTGTAAAGCTAGGGCTCATTCTCCATTTCAAAACTTAGGCACCTGTAATAAATCACATCATTTTAAAGACGTTTCTAAAAAAATAAGTTTAATTAATTATTCATTAAATGATTATCTATTGGTCACTCACTATGTGCAAAGCAGCTAAGTTCACTAATGCGTTCAAAAAGAAGTAAGGCTTAATTTCTGTACTTAAAACTTATAGAGAGTATGACGTAAAGTTTTACATCCCATACTCCACCTCCCCTGACTACACTCACCCTGATTGACCAACGACATTCTGAAATAATGATATTTCAGATAAAAAGAAAGATATTTTAATTCACTGCTGTTTTTAATTAGAGTATTGTACATTTCTAATGTATGTTGCATTGTGTAAAAGGTAATCACTACTATCAAGAAAGCAAATATCTGCAGACACATGACTGCAACACCAGGCAAGAGAAGCTAAGCATCAAGGATGCAAGAGCACTCAAGATCCTCTGAGTATAGGCCAAGGGTTGGTCATCTCAGGATGATGTTCAGAAAAGGCTTTGCAGCTGAAATGGTATTCAAATAGAGTTCAAGAATTTCAAGAGAGTGATGCAGGGCTAGACTTTTCAAGTGAAAAGAATTGCCAAGGGGAGAGTTAGGGTAGTAAAAGCACAAAATATTTGAGATCACAAAGCAATACATTGTGATTGGACCACAGATTTCATAAAGGAAAGTAGGCATGAAAGGGTAGTCTAAAAGTAATGTTTATAGTCATGAATGTAATTATCAAAAATAACTCGAAAGGCAAAAATGATATTCGTGTGTGTGTGTGTGTGTGTGTGTGTGTGTGTGTGTGTGTGTGTGTGTGTGTGTAGAGAGAGAGAGAGAGCGAGATGGGGCAAAGCTTTGGTTTTAGGTATTTCAAGTGTTGGGTATCTTTAAGACAGCCTCATACCCCCAAATAGATATGGGTTCCAAAATGTTACTAATATACAATTACCTTAAATCTACATTTGCTTTTAATAGTTCAGTTCTACGTGCCCTTCAGAATGAGGCTGACATCACAAACTACTGGCCTATCCCCTTCCTGAATAACTTCCCCCAAAGGATCGCCCAGCTATGTAAAAACAGCAGTCTACTTTCAATCAATCTTTTCCTATAGGTATTTGGGCCAGAAATGATGAAACCACATGTGGCTTAGAAGAGGTTGATAAGAAAGGGAATGCAGAAGAAAGATTGGAAAGTATGAAGGGGACAAAGTGAAAAGGATGGCTTTGTTATGGTTGAGGCACAACTAATGAAGGACTAAAAAAGAAAATAGAGGGAAGAAATGAATATTATATGTACATATGTGCTTCAAGAGAATGCAATACTTGTCTACTAGACTCTCTGAAATAGCTGACATGAAGCAGAAATGAACAACTGGTTTGACATTGTAACAAATACATCAGATAATAATTCATAGCAGTGAGAGATGTTAGAGACGGACGTTGCCTCTACGACACAATGCGGGTTAGTAAGGATGGCTGCTATACCTCCAGACTTGATTTCCTGAGAATAAGAGAGTCTTGCCGCGATCCTCAAAGTGAACAGCTGCACTTATCCTTTTAATCTCTTTTGGAAATCCCAGTTCAGATATTTTTTTGGGATAGCCTTCCAAAATATCATAGCCGTTAAGAGCCCAAAAGTTTCTTCCTGAAATAAGTTAAAGAAAATTTTATTTTCCAAGGGAATCTATTAGAATTCACATATTGTACACTTAATTGATTAAAGAAAGGTCATGTGGGTAGAAATAAAATGTTTGGTGTTTGTGATCACCACATCTATGCAATAGAAAAATAGCATTCTTTAAACAGATTTTAAGTCCCATTGCAACTCTAATTTCCTATATATGAGTACACCCATCCAAATGTCATGATGATTTTTGCAATTTATTATCTCTGAATATTCAGTTTAGAGTTGAGTGAAAAAACTTTGATGTTTTCTGCATGAATAAACAGGCACAGTAAACTAGATTAAAAACTAAAATTTACACCATCCAGAGTTTTGTTTTTTCTGAAAAACTAGTTTCATTACAATAGTCAAACAACAGAAACAAGTTCACATCAGTAGTCTGTTGTATAATCATTATAAAATATAATCATAAAGATAGAGTAGCAATTTTAAAAACTTTTTGTGATTTTATGTCAAGGAAACAATTATAAAGTAAAAGTGTATCTTCACTAGAAGGATATAAAAACCGTGCAGAAGAACTAGAAAAAAGAGAGGAAAATTGACTTTTTTTTAGAAGGGTAGCGTTATAGTTTTCTTTCAATTTTTCAAAATGTATAATATTATAATGTTCATGCAGTACATAATTTTGAGGCGAGCTAAGCAAAGGCAGACATGATTGATGTGAACCACAAAGCGAATAGGATAAGTAATCAAGTGGAACTTTGATAGGACAGATTAGAGCTGTTTAGGACAACAGTCTCAGGTGCTTTCTAGCTGCTCCTCGTTGTCCTGGATTCTTAATGTTGGCATGTTTTCAGGAATAGTCATTGACTAAGACTCTCATCGCATCAAGTCCTCCACCGCCAGCCTGGAGCTGCGAGCAGCCTTACTTGTGGAAGGCTTACCTTTGAAGATGAAGATAAGGTCCTGAGAAGGATGCTCAAATGCAGCGTCAATGTTGTTGGGAAGTTCAGGCCAAAATGATTTCGTTAAAAACAGCTCCGCCTCAACCTGCTGAGGGTGCAGGCGCCAGAAAAATCTAACACAAAAATACGATATGAAGTTTATAGTGAGTAAAAAGGCATGTTTCAAAGTGGAATATTCTTATTCTCTGGCAGTTGTTTTCACATCAAAGCAATTCTATTTAATTGTTACATCTGTGAAGGGGGACGGGGATCCAATTTCTTAGCTTAATGCTAGCCTACAGTGTTCAAATGTAAAATGTCACAGAAGCTTTCGGGGGACTCTGTGACTTTGGCGGGTTAATCATGCTTTGCTCAGTTTTGCCTTTCCTAGAAGTGGCGAGGAAGTGTGCCAGGCACTGCAGAGGGGTCTGGACTAAGCCTGAGTTACATAAGTGATGCTTGCCCTGAGCAAAGCCTGGCAGAGACTTAACAGCAAGAGAACACTGGGAGTACTGTTGTGTCTCATGGCAGGATGGGGGTGAGTGAGGGTGGGGGGGATTCATGGGTGAATAAATGAATAAACCTATTGGGAAAAATGTAGCCATTAAAATTCTTTTTCAATACCTATAGCTCCAGGTTTACAGAAGTCTTCTCCTCCCAAATTCTAACATGTTTCCAGAATCAAAGTTTTTCCTTACCGAAAGGAGTTAAAGTAGCATTTGGAGTAATGCCATGATATGATAATTTAGGATATAATACATGTAATAATGATATATAATATACACCAAACATAATATCATGGGATATGTAATATGATATAATATCTCACATTATATATTATATAGTATTATATATTATGAGATAATATTTGTGTTACAATATAATAATTACTTTCAGTGCTAACCTGTCACTTATATAACTTGGATTTCTAGATGTACTTGGTTATGTTTGTGAAAAATATTTACAACTGAAGATGTAAAAGGAAGCTGCACAATGCCAATAGGACCCACTGAGAAGTAAAATGCTCATTTATCATCTATTTGATCTGAAATGTGTCAAAATTTCTGCCGAGAGTTCTATTATTTGTACCGTTAACTTCATCTTGAAGCATTTGACTGCATGCTTGGCAATCTGCAGACATGCGTTCACACGTTTGTCACATGCAGACCTCATGAAAGAATCCCAAGTGTACCTGTCTTTGAAGATTATGAGTTCTCCGCGGAGACTGGTGATGGCATCAATGGTTAAGGCGGGATCGCATTTCTCCGGAGTTTTGGGATGTTTCGGGTCGGGGTCTTCATCTCCTGGACCTGAAATGCCAAATGAATCAAGGAAGTTACTGACTGTGACCTTACGGATGGCCCTGGTCTCAGTGCAACCAGCTGACTCTGCTAAGAGAGAGGAAAAGAAGATTCTCTGCATTGAAGGCAGAGGCTCCGATAGAACAGCCCCGCTCCCCTATCCTTCCGTTTCCTGCATCAAGGGTTGCCACCGTCAGACAGGTCCTTTCTCCCTTTATTCTTCCGGACCCATGGAGAGTCATCTTAACTACACGTGTAGGGGGTTGGAGGCTCATCGTAGTTAATAGCAGGGGAAAAGCAAAAGACGTTGGAATCACCATTCCTCCATCTTTGCAGAAGTTTGGGGTAGGCTGTTCGTGAAAAAAGATCTTCTCTTTCAACTATCTCTGAAAGCTCATCATCTTGGAGCTCCCCACCCCCTTTGCCTGTTTTACCAGCTGTCGGCCGCGGCCAGCGTTGCTTTATCAGTTTGCACCAACTAGACTACCGTTGTCATTTGTTTGTAACTGTCCCTCCTGCTAACACGAGTGAGGACAGGATGAAGTGCACAGCAATAATTAGACACCACGTTTCTCTGTCTCGTTCTTAAGGACCCCTGGTTATGTGTTGGGTTGTCGACGGCAAGGCCAGTGGTTCATCTACTCCCATAGAGAGGTACAGTCTCGGAAAGCCGTAGGGGCCTCTCTACTCTGTCCGACAGGGTTGCTGTCAGTCAGATTTGACTTCCTGGTGTGAGTTTTGGAGAGATCGTCTGACTCTGTCACCAATCTCCTGGTCATGATTTTGCAGGAATAATAAGAATGTTGAAGTAGATCCGCAATTGCCCTGTGCCATCAGCAAGTCCATAGCACCGACACCAGCCGCTGTACGGATTGTTGGGGTCGTATGATCATATGTTCTGTCAGGCGCCCCGGCAATGTTTACACTGAGAAGCTGTGCACTGTGGCTTTAACTCTACTCATGCCAGACCCTCTTCCTTCTTTGGGTTAAATCACTTTGTAAATACAATTGAAAATCTTGAAGAGAACAAAGACAAATATTCTCAAAACAGTTGCTATAGGTGCTGATTTAAAACTACCACAGATCGCTTGGGCAATTTCAACTGTGGCAAATGGGAACACTTGAAAGGACACTTATAATTTACTAAAGCTGGCTAGGAATTCACTTAGACCACTGGTTGTGTGAATAACACGGGGTGGGGGTAACCCCCAGTGGTAACCAAGTCAATTGCAACCCATCCTTTTTAATGTCCATATGTTTTAGAGTGGGACTGCGCGCCCCAGGTTCTCAGACACAGACCACCAGGCCTCTTTCCTGAGACACCTGTAGGGACACTTGAACCACCAACCTTGAGGTTTGTAGCCCAGTACTAAACTGCTCGAACCACCCAGGGACTCCTGTTGTATGACTAGAGGAACAGATTGACACTTTCTGAGGCTTAGGTTCCTCATTGGTTAAATGCGGAATAAAATATTTTCTTCTCTCTGAGGTGTTTGAAATCAAACGTACCTTCAAGAAGTGAATATTTTCTACTCGGTTCCCTAGTTTATTGGGGGTGGGGTGGGCAGGGGGAGGTACGTGTATTTACCTAGGTTTTAGTAGCAAAACCAGGATCGCATTCGTGATCATAGCGAACATATGTTTGTATGCTGCTGTTAAGGGCGCAGAGTAAGAGTTACCGTAGAGCGACTGGATCCCTTGGACATCGTCATCAGGAAGCACGAAGTGGCCTTTGCCCGTGTAGGTGTAGATGGGAAACATGAGTGCTCCCGGGTCCTTGGAGTGCTCCAGGCCTAAGGAGTGGCCGAACTCATGGGCAGCAACAAGGAACAAGTTGTAGCCTGTACATAGAAAAAGTTTAAGAATAAAACACACATACATAAAGAAACAACAAGAAAACAGTGTGCTCAACTGACCAGCTAATGGAAAGAAATACCATCTTCCTCATCTATTTGGCTTGCTCCCCCCCTTCATTGGCTCACTCACGCATATTTTAAAACTCAGTATTACGTTTCTTGAAGAGAGATGCCAAGTGTTGATTTAAATCCTTGTAACTTTGTCCTCTCTTTAAGTGCACCTGCCTATATATTTTGAATGCCAGCTGTTGGCTCTCAAATCACTAGGAATTTGCCGGGAAAGCCTAGCAATACTGATTTGCTCTGCGCTGTGAAGATACTAGGAATGCTGATGAGCGCTTTAACTGCCCAAGGTCAGGTGAAAAGAATGGACAGTTAGAACCTGCACTGAAGAATGCAGAAAATCCCAGAGTGTAAGACATGCTCGAGGACTGCCAAGCAGGAGGCAGCTGGTAAGGGATGATGGCTGATTGGGAGCCTCATCGCACTGCAGCAAGTAAATCCCGACTCATAGTGAGTCTGTAGGCCAAGGCAGACCTCCCCCCTGTGGGTTTCCAAGACTGTAACTCTTTACGGGAGTAGAAAGCCTTATATTTTTTCCTGTGGAGCAGCTGGTGGTTTCGAACTGCTGACAGTTAACAGCCCAATGCTAACCACTCCACCACCAGGGCTCCTTGGATGCAGTAAATAGTCATGAGGGAACAAATTCCACCCAGGCGATTCCAGAATATCTCAAGTCTTGAAAGAGAAAGATGAGGCTTTCTTCTCCGGGAGGAGTTATAGTCGTGGAAATCCACAAGGGCATTTCTACCCGGCCCTAATAGGGTCGCTATGAATGGACATCCACTGATGGCACGGAGTCTAGAGACACAAACTCTGGGTGTGATTGGTAAACTTTACTCTGGAAGGGCACTGTGCCACTGTATTTGCATGGCTTTCTCTAGGCATGTGTTCGACCACTTTGTGAGCCTTCTCGAACTGGGCTGTAAGGATCCTGGCAGCACAGTGGTTACGCCTGGGGCTGCTAACCGCAAAGTCAGTAGTTTGACATCAGGAGCCATTGCTCTGGACAAAAATCAAGACAAAACCAAAAAACGAGGCTCCTACCCCTATAAGAAGCTATAGTTTCCGAAATCCACATGGGCAGTTCTGTCCTATCCTAAAGGGTCACTATGAACCCGAGTTGATGTGATGGCTGTGACTCTGAGTTTGAATACCGATATTTAAGTTGGTGAGAAAGATAAATGAATGATTATATGACAACTAAGACAATAGCAATTGTTCCTCCTTAGAATACACCCAAGCAGGAACCATTGTTTCAATTTGACTTCAGATGTCCTTTGCCATCATAGTCTATGCATTAAGAAAATATACAGTGAAATTGGTAAAAATGAATCTGTGTAAGGAGCAAATCTGTCAGAAATGGAAAACACAAGTGTTTTCCACTGAAATCATTAGCCATGAAGTGGAAAACTTGTAAGACCTGAAAGACAAGGTAGTCCCTTTGAGTTCCAGCTCTCACAGGTTTTACTGTATAATCATTTTATAAAATTATACAAGCAATAAAGACAATAAAACTTTCTGTAACTTTTAATTACTTCTTCATTGAAATGCCTAGCCAGGAACCCTGTTCTTGACCTTCAGCTGAAAAATTAATCTAGATTTGTTGGCGCATATTTGATCAATATCTCAAGCCCAGAATTTATGCAGGCATCTGAAACAAAGGCGCACTCTCACTGTCTTAACAAAATACAGATGGTGTCCATCCTTTCTAAAACTGTTCTCACCTTTCGAACATTCTGCATATAAACATGTAAATGTCTCTCCTCCCTCTCCATAGACTGACTCAATTCAAGAGTTCAAAAGGTAGGAGTGGACCATCCAAAGTCCAGTTTTGCTCTTTGGAAAAATAATTTCTAAAACGTGAATTATAAAAATCAGCTGTCTAGCAACTACCTCTAACTGGCAATACCACTCCAGAGTGAAGCTCTCATTGGAACAATCTTTTTGGCTTTTCTTTGGAAATTTATTAACATTCATAATTTTTGAGCTGTTGAATTCATTCAACACACAGTTTCCTGTTGCTTGTGTAACTGCAGCCTTCATCTGGTGTCTCATATTGTTTGGAATAAGAAACCAACTTGAATATATTGAACAGCTAGTTATAAGTAATACAGGCAAGTTTGAAACAAGGAACACACATCCTGGAGATCAAAGAGTTGATTAACATGTGAAATTCACATTTCTACCACCAACAACAACAACAAGAAGACTATTTCAGCACACTTCTAATGCCTCTATAATCTACAGATTCAACATTAATAAGTTTTAGATAGAGATTTATAGTAAACTGTCCTTCAACGTGCCAAAAGTAATCCACAGTAATAATATTTTGCTCGGCCATCGAGACCTTTCCACTCTATTTCAAGGTTGGGCCCCTCCCACTACCATGACAAATTATGCAAATTTTTGCTAGGTTCTCATGTTTCACATTGGTTTTTACACATCTCACTTATGAAAAAACATTTGTACGTATTCAATATAAACTTTTAAAATATTTTAGGCCATGTAATCAACTACCAAATATAATTTGCTTGTGTGCTTCCTAATTTCTTACCAGAGAGCTATTTATCGTATATAATCCAATAACCCACGAGCTGTCACTCTATGAGAAGTATTACCTTTGGAGCTACTTGTCCAAGTTTCATCATCATCAAAATGGGCATCTCCTCCAATATTGGGCCCAGGAGGAAAAGCATGAGCCAGGAGACCAGAAGGCCCATCAAATGGGTAGAAATCGCCATGCTCTACACACAAGAGCAAGACACGAGTTAGGAATCTTATTGTATCTATTAGGTCCAGGTGAGGCTTGTTGAATACTGTTAAAGTTAGCAAATGACTGAAAAAAGTGAACAAAATAATGAAACCAATTAAGAATGGGAATGGATAGGTCTTTCAAAAATGGTTTGTTTTGTTACCTTTAGTTCCAAAGGAGATCATGATGTCAGCGGTGCCGTTGTGAACTCTGGTGAAATTCAGAGGTGTCACATCCGACCAGACTTTGAGGGCCTTCTTCACAGCCTTGGCAACCTCAGGAGGGGTCAGATCAGGGGTGTAATTCACAATCCTAGTGCACAGAGAACCCTTTCATTACATTTTTGGAAGGTGAAAGCTATCTTGAATACATTTTCTTAGACTCTTACTTTTCAACTCAAAACACAGTAGTGTCTTAAAAGTGCTACTGGTCCATTGTTTCAAATAATTTATTAATTATTACACTCCTTAAGGAAAGCTGGCCGTGGCAACCCCAAGGATGTCAGAGTAGAATTGTACTCCCAAAGGCTTTCAGTGGCTGATTTGTTAGAAGTAGATAGCCAGACCTCTCTTCCCAGAAGCCTCTGCATAGAGTCAAACCTTCAACCTTTTGTCTAGCACTCAAGCTAAACTTTTGAATCACTAAGGGATGAGTTCAAACATTTGACTATTTCTAAACATCTGATCATGTCACATCATAAATGTTCAATATTCAGATGTTTAGTAGAATTTATTGTGCACCCTGAGATTTTGAACTTACAGAGCTAAGCGAATGGATTATCTCTGTTCCTAGAGAGAATAAAAGTGAAATTGTTCATCTTTAGCACCGATTTAATAAGAACACTTGATTTGCTCCATTTGAATTTTTTTTCTTAAGCTTATTTTCCTTTCTATTTTTATTTCATTTCTCAAAGAAATATTTTGAGATTTCCACTGAAAAATAATGCTGGGCCAACTAACTTAACGACAGGAGAGGTTATGAATATCGCATCAACTGTGTTAACTGTATCCCTGGACTTCCCTCCCACCGCAGTCTTTAAGACCTCTTAGGTAAACGAAGGAGCCCCGTGAGGTAGTGGTTACAAATTGGGCTGCAAGTGGCTGGGATGGCAGTTAGAAACCACAGCTCCTCCACACAATGACCATCCTCTCAGAAACCCACAGTGGGTGGCTATGAGTCAGCACTGGCTCCATGGCAGGGAGTTTGGTTTGAGCAAAACAAAGCAGTAAGATGTATGATCATCAAGCATAGTTCGTGATAAAAATAAACATGCAATGCTTGATAGGTCAATGTTAAAAAAACGAGCCACTGTTAAATGGCCTGTGATGTACCTGTAAGTTAAATCCGTTTTCGACCATTTGAGAGTTCGAGGGAAAACATTGTATTCGCCCACATCAGGGACTCCACATCTTGGCTTTTTCATGATGTCTAAAGTGTTATCATCAAGTTGGCCGGTCACTTCTAAGCCAAAGAAAGACTGCATTTCTCGGAGCCTGTCCGCCAAGGACAAGCCTGTAATCTTCTTCAGGATTCCAGCAGGGTTCCGGGGATAGTAGTATGATTTCAGATAGTGCTACAAAAGAAACCCAAACCACCTGTTTGAAAAGAGCTGGACCTTTATGATCTGCCCCCCACCATGGAGATGAGCAAGATACTCTACCTCTGCAAACTGGAAGTTTTCCTCGGACAGGTCTCCATCACTGTCATCCTTGTCAGGAAGAGGCAGAGACCAACAGTGGAGCCAGCTCCAGAAGAAGAAGGCAGCCAGGACACGTGGATGCATCTTGGCTCGCTATGCCTGTAGGCTGCTGTCTGTGCACAGGCACACCTTGACTTTTATAGGCCTCCAAGGGTGAGTCATGGCTTACGGACATGTTTCAACCCCCCAGGCAGTTCAAGGTAAACATGCTGACATAACAACTTTTTCCCCCCTCCTAAGAACTGTGGCTTGTGGTAGAATGCTCAGGAAATATCAAAAATGAGGGCATCTCTAGTTTCATCAGGGTCTCAAAACCCATCTGGCAAAATAAACGACCTCAGCATATTTATGGATATTGTGGGAAGAAGCAGAGAGTAGTACATTTTTCATTTAGCAAAAATATCTTTCTTCCCTATAAGGCCAGAGCTACTTCTTCTTTTTTTTCAGATAAAATAAGAACATCAATACTGTATTCTTGCTCCATAAAGAGAAAGCTCATCCTGCCCCAAACTTCCAACATGTTTTTAACCTGTTGGGTTCTAAATTGCATTGTTTCTAAAGCAAATGCAGAGGAAAATAGTGTCTATCCTAGAGCCGTGGAATTGGATTAGAACCAAGCTAGGCTTCTCTGTGGTGCAGCAGCACATCCATAGCACTGAATCCTGAAATTGGAATTTAAAAGCCCTGCCTTAACCTTCCAAAAAGGGTCCTTCAAAAAGTTAATGGAAAATGTCCTTTGTCTGTTAATTCCATTTGTCCATAACTTTTTGAAGCCTCCTCATGAAGTTTTTGACCCCTCCTAGCTCCCATAGGCCATCTACAAAGGTAGAAGAATTCTGTAGTGATATAAGTATAATGGCTAACACACATCGGAAGATTACAGTATACTGGGCTTCAAAGTATTATTTAATTCTTGTAAGTAGCCTTATGAATCAGATGCTAGCACAAGACTTGCTTTCCCTTATGCAGATTTGGTCAGCACACTGAGGCTCACCAGCCAGGCATTGCTCTTTCGGTAAGTGCACGTGGCTGTGCCATAAAATTGGAAATGCCTAACGGATATCATTCAGGAAATGGTGATCCCATTTGTTTGTGAAAATATATTTATGGCTCTCGAATAATTTTTAAATTGCTACTAAGGACACAATGGGCACTTCCGTTTCAAAAGTTTGCCGACCCATGGGATAGACAAATGATCGGGCCCCGAGAAATTAATAACTTGCTCAAAGCTCTCCAATTAATTAATGGTAGAATTTAGACTTGAACCCAGGGCAGTTGATGAAAGACATGTTTTTAACCACTATCCTATGCCATCATCAGATTGGTTTTTTATTATCAAAAATGTGCTGCCTCATTCCTACACCTGTGGGGGTGTCCTGGTGGAGCAACAATGTCCTTCAGGAAAAGCCACACAAAACTGGTCCCAAGAAGGTGGAGGTTGCATATCTCCCTGATGGCCCCATTTCCAGACTGCTGTCCGCCACCCACCACCACCTGCGCTCCTTTGCATACTCTCTTATATGCCATTCGCTACAATGGCCACACAGTACTCCTCACACAAAGGAAAATGGCTCATATGGTGACAATGCTGGTAAGTCCCACATCAATATTCAGAGATCCATCTGGAGGATCTTCCTTATGCCCAAGGCTGTGGAGGTGAAATCATGTCCAAGAACCAGATGCCAGATCTGAAGGATGGGATTCACTGGTCCTAAGATCCCCTCTCCTGCTTCTCAGAGGGCTCATTTTATACTCAGCAGGAAGGCAGTCACCAGGTATTCCGTTATCAATGACACGCAGGTGAATCCTACCAAGGTGATATTCCATCACTTAGCAATGAGATGAAATACAATGTATATGAATTATTGAACAGAAAACTGACGTGTTCTATAAACCTTCACCCAATTCCCAATAAAAAAAAAAAAGATATTGTTTCCTATGAGTTAAAGATTAGAATCAGCAATACAAGACAACATTTTAAGCCTCATCCATGTGCAGTAACATTTAACTTTGTGATTGGGTGAAAATGTATTCCAAAGTTTGATTCAGGAACTAAGCATATGGGAAATGTGGTCACTAAAAAGCATTTCTTTTGACCGAAAAACTTTCATAATTATTTTAAATCTCCTTCACTCACTTACCGGGACCCTAAAGGACAAGGCAGAATAACCCGTGGGGGTTTCCAAGACTGTTGAACTCTTTATAGGAGTAGAAAGCCCAGTCTTTCTTCCTAAGTCTCATTAGGTAAGAAATCTTTGAAGAAGCTTAGAAACATGTATTATTTTATTCAGTGTTTGAAAGGGAAAAATGAATCAAATTGACTAACTTAATAGATTTTTATATCTTTGTAGAAATATTACCACTTTAGAAGAAAATAAGCCTATAAAAATTTCAAATCAATGGCTACTCATTGATCACAAATCATTATGCTAGTCAGTGTAAAGATGAAACAAAGAATCAAATCGGAGCCTTTTTCTTAGGAAATTTATAAACATTAACTTCTCTCCCACCCATCCCCCCAAAATCATTTAAAAATCCTAAGACCTCTATAAATGCCCTTTGCCTCTTAGTTCTTTCCTCTATTTCCTTTTACATTCCTCTTGTCCCACTATCATGCTTAGCCTTCATTTGGGTTTCAGTAATTCCTCTTGGTTACATTGCCCTTGATCCAGCCATACCAGGCCTCTTACACCCTCCTCACCACTGATTTTGGATCTCTTGTTGTTCCCTTGTCCCTGAATTTGTTAACACCCACTTCCTTTCCCCTACCACCCCCTCTCCCATGTCCCCCAGAACCTTCGTCGGTCCTGTTGTTTTCTCCTCCAGATTGTTTATCCAGCCTATCTTATCCAGATAGACCTGCAGAGATACTAATATGCACAAAAACAAGACAGAGCAAAACAAAGCAACAAAAGAAAACAAAACAACAACAACAAAAACAATGACAAAAAAAGAAAAGCCTGTAAATAATTCAAGGTCTGTTTGTTGATCTTTAGGAGTGTTTTCTAGTCGAGTCTGATTGGGTGCCACACCCTGGCCCCAAGAGGGCCCCTGTTTTTGGTACTCCCTCAGGACTTCCTTGCTCTGCTCCCTTTGCTGTGGAGGAAAGAACTAGGAGGCAAAGAGCATTTATAGAGGTCTAAATACAGGCATGTACATATGTAAATATATTTATTTATATATATGATGGGGAAATAGATCTATGTGCATATATTTATAGGCTTAGTATTAAGGTAGCAGATAGACACTGGGCCTCCACTCAAGTACTCCTTCAATGCAAGAACTCTTTGTTCTATTAAACTGGCATTCCATGATGCTCACCTTCCTGACACAATCACTGAAGACAAAGCAGGTACATAAGCACATGTGGTGAAGAAAGCTGATGGTGCCCGGCTATCGAAAGATAAAGCATCGGGGGTCTTAAAGGCTTAAAGATAAACAAGTAGCCATCTAGTTCAGAAGCAACAAAGCCCACATGGAAAAAGCACACCAGCCTCTGTGATCACGAGGTGTTGAAGGGATCAGGTATCAGACATCAAAGAACAAAATGTTATATCATTGTGAATTAGGGGGAGTGCGGAGTGGGACCCAAAGTCCATCTGTAGGCAACTGGACATCCCCTTACAGAAGGGTCTCGGGGAGGAAACGAGCCGGTCAGCATGCAGTGTAGCAACAATGAGACATACAACTTTCCTCTAGTTCCTAAATGCTTCTTCCCAACCCACTATCATGATCCTAATTCTACCTTACAAATCTGGCTAGACCAGAGGATGTACACTGGTACAGATAGGAACTGGAAACACAGGGAATCCAAGACAGATGAATCCTTCAGGACCAGTGGTGAGAGTGGTGATACCGGGAGGGTGGAGCGAAGGTAAGGTAGAAAGGGGGAACCGATTACAAGGATCTACATATAACCTCCTCCCTTGGGGATGTACAACAGAAAAGTGGGTGAAGGGAGATGTGTAAGACATGACAATAATAATTTATAAATTATCAAGGGTTCATGAGGGAGGGTGGGGAGGGAGGCGGAAAATGAGGAGCTGCTACCAAGGGTTCAAGTCGAATGCAAATGCTTTGAGAATGATGTTGGCAACAAATGTACAAATGTGCTTGACACAATGGATGGATGGATAGATGGATTGTGATAAGAGTTGTACGAGCCCCAATAAAATGATTAAAGAAAAAATCCCCAAACCAAACCCACTGCCATCAAATAGGTGATGACTCATAGCAACCCTTTGGGGACCGAGTAAACTGCCCCTGTGAGTTTCAGAGCCTTTAAGTCTGCAGAGGATTCGAAAGCCTGTCCTTCTACTGAGTGGCTAGTGGTTTTGACCTTGAGGGTCACAGCCCAATGTGTAACCATTCTACCACCAGGGTTCCTCTAAAAATAAAAAAAATTACAGAGACATTATTATAAATCGATGCCACTGTTTTTCAGCTTTAAGAAAATGTTAGCTATCAAAGAGCATTAGTATTTTATTTATTTCTCATTCCATTGAAGAACAGAAAACTATTTCTTAATTAAAAAAGCAAAAGAAGGTTAATCAGAATATGCGATCTTACATGCTGGCATTTCCATAGTAGGAATACATCAAAGTTTCTTTGAAGATTAAAATAGACATTGATTTCTTAAGAAAATAATCTGACTGCCTGTCTACAGGCTCTTGCTCATGGAGCGTGATTTAAGGTGATGATCAAGATGTATGTCATCGCATTGTAATATGTTGGCAAAGTGCTTGTCAACACAAGTTCTTATCTCAGGTCAATTGTTAAAATGAAAGCCAGGCCTCCTGATTACCACTGGTGAAGTGGTTTGTGGTTTCCAATACCACTTTTCACACAAAGAAGTATTTACAAATTGTTCCAACAAGTCTACAAAAGGCATTTGAAAACCCATGGGCTAAGCAAACAAACCAAGACATTTGAAAACCTGTCGACTGAGCAGACTGAACTGTATCGACTGCTGATTCAGACATAAGCAATGTGGGGATTTTTCAAACATATGCCATCATTGAGTTCTTTGTTCCAGACATCATCCAATAGAGAGATCCAACACTGTCCACTAATAGTCATTGAACAAAGCACAGGGTGTTTCCAGATTCAGAATAACACAAACAATTGGCATTTGAATTGACTTGGAATTATTGAATCTTGTCAGTCAAAGAACCTCAAGAGCTGGCCTTTTGGGCTTCAGCAAAACCCACTGTGAATGAATGGATTCTGACTTCCAGTAACCCTACAGGACAGAGGCAGGCCGCTGCATCGTGTTTCGGAGGTTGTAAATCCTGAAGCAAGCAGACTACTTCATCGTTCTCCAATGCAGCAGCTGATGGGTTTTAACCACCAATCCTTCTCTTAGAAACTCAAGGCTTAACTCCCTGCACCACCAGGGCTTCTTTGGTTTAAGGATAAACCCACCCAGAGCCCACTGCCAGTCAGTTCCTACTCATAGCAACTCTATTTAGTGTTCCCAAGGCTGTAACTCTGCAGGAAAGAAGATAGCCTTCATCTTTTTCTCACGTTGCTGCTGGTAGGTTTGAACCATTGACCTTAATGTTAGCAGTCCAATGCTTACCCAACAGTTCCCTCATTTCAGAATCATGTTGTCACTCATCAATGCCAACAGTGACACTTAATAATATCTTTACTTTTTATTTTAAGATAACTGATTTGACTTGGTGCATTTGTATGTAGCAATGATTCCATAACAGCTGCTTTGTTCTAATTTGATTGCTTTCTGGTCCTTACCACCATGAAATTCAGCCTAAAATGTTTTTGAAAAAAGTGGAGAACTAAACTTTAAACATATAATCATATTTACACAATGGAATACAGCCCACGTGTTCCACCTAACCTATTACACACAGTGAACCACAGAGTAACACAGAGGTCTGACACAGCATGGAGAGACTCATTCGGCGCTGTATCTGCTGTGTCTTCAAAGGGCAAGGTCAACAATTTAGAAAGTCATTTACTTTGGACATCTGAATCACACGCTCTTCAGAGATGCTGTATTCAGACAGTGTTTCTCCACAGAAGAAGTAAATAGAACCTTAAAGGGGAGAAAATAAAAAAGAAAATTCTTTAGAGTTCTTATTGAAATCAAACATCAGAAAGTCAAGTCCTAATTCCCTGGGTTCCCCAGAGAATTGACATTTAAAAAAAAATCATTTTATTGGGGGCTTGTACAACTCACAACCCATACATATGTCCATTGTATGTCAAGCACATTTGTACATTTATTGCCATCATCATTCTCAAAACATTTTCTTTCTACTTGTGCCCTTGGTATCAGCTACTCATTTTTTTCTTTTTCTTTTTTTTAAAAAATATTTTTAATTGTTTTGAGGACCTGATGCCAGGGGCTTAAGTGGAGAGCAAATGTTTTGAGAATGATGAGGGTAGTGAAGGTACAAATGTGCTTTACACAATTGATGTATGTATGGATTGTGATAAGAGTTGTATGAGCCCCTAATAAAACAAGAATTAACATTTTTCTTGTGTTTTGTTAAGGAGAGTGGTTAGTGACTATTCACCTCTGCCAGATTTAACCAAGTACAGAGTAGAAGAAAACAGCCAAGAATGGAACACACCTCCTAGCCCATCCATGCCCAAACTCTTTTCAAAAGGGGAAAACCGAGACTGCTTGGCAGTGAATAACAGAAAGGAAAGCAAGCGGGAGAACTGGGGGAATATGCCTTAGTGGTTTTAACAATTTCCGTGTGTTTTAAAAGTCTGATATTTAAGCAGTGAAGTAGAAAGTCTATTTTTTAAAAAGCATTCCCTCACATTTATTGCCTAATTCACTGAATTAGATACTGCTTTAAATTTTTTAAAACAAAATTTCTGATTTAATGTAATATGCAAAATTTGAAAAGGGATTGTGGTGACTGTTGCACACTATGGTGAATGTAGCTAACGCCACTGAATTGTACCCATAAAAATAGTTGAGGTTGCAAATGCTTTGTTATATGTTTTCTACCACAATACAAATTTTAAAGCAATATTCAAAAAAACAATTATGTTTGCAAAATGTCTAGAAAGCGGAAGCACAGAGCAAAATATTAAATTACCATGACTCTTCTAAATTCTTGAGATAATTAAACCTATTGGGTAGAGTGTATACGGATTCATCGAGACCTCTTAGGACAGAATGGAAGTGTCCCATAGAATTTACTGAAGCCATCACATCCTTCCCTTTGAAGCAATGGGTCGGTTCGAACCACTGCACTTCCAGTTAGCAGCTAAGTGCTTGACTGCTGTACCACCAGGGCACCCTGTTACAAACACACATACCGGCAAACACATACACATATATCGTATATGTGTGTGTAGCTATATGTGTTTGTATGTGCACACACACACACATATATATATGTATATATATATATATATACACACACACACACACATGGGTGTACATTTATATTTAAGCTGATTTATTTAAACTGCATTCAATCTAAAATATTTTTGTTATATTACAGAAAAACTTGCCTTGGTGTTGGTATGCTGCATCCACTTTATTTTCAATTCCAGAAAAACCATCTGTAATGGATTTGGGGTAGCCATCTTCCATAGTTTGTCTTTCTTCATTGAATCTATCAGGAAATTAAACATAAGCTCAAGATTGATAGAAAATATGTCTTAGCAATGCTACTAGGCATGAAGGATGTTAGTTAATATTTATAATGTTCCCATCAGTATGCTAGGTAATTTCAGAAAATTATAGAAAAGTATTCACTACAGCCATGAATGCCAACCCAGCCTTCGTCCTCGTCTGGCTACTGGGACGAATGGCTACCTCCAGTACTTGTCTGCAGTGAAAAAGGTGGTGATCCTGGTGTGTGAGTCGTGGACAGCAGCATCGATGCAGTGTGTGTCTTTGGGGAACCCAAGCTCACTAATTGCCTTGGGATATCCATGGAGCACCATGTGGCTTTGTAGGACCCAAAAGTCTTTGCCTGTTTGTAAAAACAAAGAGTCAAAAGATGACCTTGTTCTCAGCAGAAAATTTATCACGGATTAACAAAGCCATTTCTAAGAGTAGGAATGCAATAAACACCATCTGGACTGTAAAGAAAGCCCGTGATAGTAAAGAATATACGATGTGTGTTTTCACCTCCCCCGTGGTCCAGCCCTACGTCCTGAATGGCAAGTACTGAATGGCAAGGCCTTGAGAGCAGATCCATCAGCACAACCCTGAATCTGCCATTGACTCGCTCCCTGACTTCAGACTCTTGGGGTTTTTTGTTTGCTTGTTTTTAAGCAGTTGGTTTTAATCTCTCTGATTTTCACCTCTTTCCATCTGTCAAAGAGGGAGACCAATACTGCTCTAGTGGCGCCGGGGGTGAGGTGCTGGACTGCTAACTGAAAGGCCGATTATTAAACCCACCAGCAGCTCGTCAGGAGAGAGAGGATGCTGTCTGCTCTCAGCACGATTTACAGTCTCAGAAACCATAGCTATAGACTGGGTTTAGTTGTTTTGGTTTTATGAGAGGCTGCAGATAAAGAGAAAAATTCAGTGACTCTTATTATTAATGGTAAAAAACACTAAATCATGAGAAATGCCGTCAGAAGCCTGCCCGTGTCTCCATTCTCTGAATGCCAGACATTGCTCTTGGTTCTGAGGCGGAAACAATCACCCCAACAGGACAGATACCCCTGCCCCTGTGAAGCTGACGTTCTAGGGTGAGAAATAAAAGATTATAGATCTTTTGATTCATTTTCATCTTTCTCTCCATGCTTTGGTGTTGTGTTTCATCATACACAACCTCCTGTGTTTGCCATATTGTAACAAGAACTTTCATCTTAACCTCCCTAGAGCCAAATTGCCCTCCTTACCAGGCAGTGAATTCTGACTCATGGTGACCTGAGACATGGGTTACTGAGACTGTGAATTTGCACCTGCGCAGAGAGCCTTCTCTTTCTTCCTGCAATACCAATCCATTCGGAAAATCATTGAATTTGATCCTGTTCTTCTTGAGAATATTTGTCATTCCTAAAAGAATGACAAGCCACCAGCCTCCACAGAATTGCCTGTCCAGGAATGGAATTCCAAGTGTGATTGCCAGCGCCTGAACTATTACAGAAGCAGCCCTATTGGTGTCAGGGATTTTGCATTGGACTGCTAGCCACCAGGCCAGCAGTTCAAGCCTGCCAGGGACTTCTGGGAAGAAAGATGAGGTTTTCTGCTCCCATAAAGACACATAGCTTCAGAAACCCTAGGGAGCAGGTACCACTCTATGCTTTAGGGTTGTTAGGAGTTGAAAACAACCCAACTACAATACAAAACATAGCTTGAGCTGGATGTCTTCCATCGTCAGTGGCACAGACTAACACAGGTGGAACACTCCACTTCCCGTAGGTGCTCCTTTTTCTCCTGGAAGTAAAGGAACTCATTCACCTCTGAACAGGACTATGTGGGCTTCCACGGGGTCTTCGTAAGCCGCATCTATCTGGTTGGGAAGATCAGGCCAAAATGAATGGATAAGCAATGGCTTTGCTTCAGGAAACTGTGGATGGTCACACCAGAAAAATCTAGGTTTTAAAAAGCAAGATTGCATCATTAGATCATGAGAGATCATCAGAAAGTCCCATTAGAAGTATATAGCAGAGAAAAAATGTATAGGGTTTATTGAAACCAGCATAAGAAAGGCTATAAGGAAGGATGGCATCTATCACTAACAGAGTGGTCTGCTGGGGTCTAGGGCACCAATAGTCCCACGTCGGAATGGGCTCTGTTCAGCACAGTGAACGAACACACAGCATCAAACACACAGTGCATGGGCCTTGGGTCAGGTGGATCCCAGTTCAAGTTCAAGCTCCATCTTTTAACAGAGTTACCATTTGTTAATTCATTGATCCAACCAATTTTTAATTAAGAGTCAATCAAATGCTTGAAAAGGAGCCCTATTAGGGTGATGGGTTAAGTGTTGGGCTGCTAACTTCAAAGTTAGCAGTTCAAACTCACCAGCCCCTCTGTAGCAGAGATGAGACTGTCTCTTCCCATAAAGATTTACTTTTGATAATTGGATTGATAATTGCCTAGGGGCATCACAGGGGAGGATGGAGGAAATGGGGAGCTGACAACAATGAGTGTGAGAAGAAATGTTCTGAAAGTGATAGTGGGGGTGATGGCATAAATCTTCTTAATATGACTGAGCAATTGAATTGTATGATGTGTGACGGATATCCCAGTAAAACCATTAAAGAATGTATGAAAAGGCACAATTCTTATATGAATGAAACTCAGAATAGGTCTAAGTTGATTAAGTTTTTAATGATTATTGCACGTATCTGGGTGTTTTGCTGATAGGCTGGCAGTGTTTGAATGAGTTATAACATAAAGATGTGCATACTTCACAAATCATTTTTGAAAAGGTTTGGCTACTATGAATCAGAACTGACTTGATGACAGTGGGTTAACTTTTTAAAAATTAATTGGATATGTTTGGCTCTATTTTATGCCCGAGAGATTCAACAACAAGAAAGAATGTAAAAATCCTGGTGTTCATGCACCTGAAATCTAGTAGCCTTTTCCGGAGGACAGACGTAGGACAAGGAAGAAGGCACGAGGATGGGAGGCAGGCAGCGGCTGTATCTCTGGAGAGTTTGAGTTAAGACTCGAGAGCCTTGCAGCTGTCTAGGGGAATAATACTCTCCAGTGGTTCTCAACTGGTGGGCCATGACCCCTTTGGGGGGTGGCCTCGAACGACCCTTTCACAGGGGTCACCTGAATAACAGTAGCAAAATTACAGTGGTGAAATAGCAATGAAAATAATGTTGTGGTTGGGGGGTCACCACAACATGAGGACTTGTATGAAAGGGTCGCAACATGAGGAAGGTTGAGAACCACTGCCCTAGGCAGTGAATGCAGCAAGTACAAAATCACAGTGGACAGGGTGCAGCATTAGCTGAATCTGAGAAATCCAGCAAGGAGTCCACTGTTGCTGAAGCAAGGGGAGGAGAAGGGGACTTAGTTTTCAGTACACAAATAGGGGAAATCATAGTATCCACCTGAGAGTTTAGGTGAAGATTAAATGACATAATGATTCATTTAGCATAATGCCTGGAGCACAGGAAACACCTCATTAATTCACTGACCCATGCAGCCAGCACTCAACAGATGTTAATGAAGGTGCCAGGCAGGCACTGTTTTAGGCACGGTGGCTAAAGCGTGAACCATATGTTGACATTCTAGAAGGAGAAGAAAGTAGACACTGACAACAACAACAACAAAATTGATGATGTCAGAAAGCGATGTGATTAGAGTGACTGGAGTCAGAGGCGGGAAGACGGACATTTGGCACCGAAGGGCCGATGTCCTCTCTAAGGAGGTGTGCTGAAAGCTGACACCTGAAGGACAAGAAAACTCAGTCCGAGAAACATCTGTGGGCAGAAAGCTTGTGGCAAAAGGATCAGCAAGAACAAAGGCCTTAGAGGACACCCCATTAAAAGACAAGAAGGGGTTTCATTGTTGGACTGTAATGAGGAAGAAGAGAACGGTGGGGAAAACTGTAAAAGATCAATTCTGGAAAGATGCCTTCCAGAATGTATAACCCCTAAAGGAGATACGAGACCCAAAATGTTGCTCACGCGTCCTTAAAGATGATGGTTGCCCCTTGAAACTGCGTAACGGCATCAGCTGTGAAGTGCGGATCACATTTCTCTGGTGTTTGGCTAGCAAATGATCTCTTTCTTGGACCTAAAAATACGAAAATAATAACCTGACATAATTCCTTAATGATTCACTTCAGTTTGTCTCTGATTTGTTTTCATGAGCAGAATAACCATTAGCATAAATTCTGATTTCTAAATTAAAAGTCATAGGAAAAAAATAGGGGGAAAGTCTGTCAGACCATGCCTCCTCATGGCTTATTCCTAATTTTTTTTAATTAATTTATTTTTTAATCATTTTATTGGGAGCTCTTTCAGGTATCAATACATTCCATAGTTCAATTACATCAGGCAGTATTGTACAATTGCTACCACAATCGGCTTCAAAACATTTTCTTTCCTCTTGAACTCCTTGGTAGCAGCTCCCCTTTATCCTCCCTCCCTCACCCACCCTACCCCCAGGGAGCCCATATTTATTTATTTATTGCCATATCTTATGCCATCCAATATATAATTCACATACAATTCTGTTGTTCACTTCCCTCAGTGGGGTTATACAGTTGTCAGTGCTATCAGCTCTCCCCTAATTCTTACTCTCAAATACTACCTGGGGTTCCTGAGGTTTGGGGGTGGGGAGACATCGCTGGAGTTAGTTTTAAGGAACAGTTGATGTATATCAACACACACACACACACACACACACACACACACGCTTTCTGCTGCTACAGGACTTTTCCACAAGGAACTCTGGTGGTGCAGTGGTTAAGTGTTTAATTGCTAGGCAGAAAAGTTGGTGGTAACTATCCAGTCTCAGCTGGAGAAAATAACCAGTGATATAGTCTCATAAAGATTACAGCATAGAAAACCTTATGGAGCTGTTCTACTTCCTCTCAGCCAAAATTCCATAACAACAATTTTTCAACTGGCTTCTAGGTAGGTTCAGTCACTGTGGGGCAAAGGTGGGAAATTGGAGGCAAAGAAGAGAACAAACAGAGATTCTCCCTTGAGAGGTGTGCACCCTCCACCCCCACCCCATACAATAAACAATTCGGGACTTTGCTTTTGTGGTTGGGGAAATATCTGGAGAATCTTAAACTAGAGGTACACAGAAATGTTCACTATCATAAAATATGCCATTTGAGATAAGGTTAAAAGAGCCTGTCTCCCTCACAGCCGTGCTTCCACAAATGCACAGAGAGAATTCTCCTCACACTGATTTGTCTTAGGAGGAGAGACGAGTACTGGGAAATGCGAGCCCACAGATTCTATAAATAATAATAAAAAGTGCTTCACCAACAGTAAGAAGAAGGGTAATGGAGGAAGAAGGGAAGAAGTTTTTGTGGTAAAATAATCTGGGGAGTTAAAGGTTTAAAGAATTGTGAATAATTTTCTTTCTTAGAGGATTTCTCAGGGCTTCTAGTAAATCTGCTACTGATGGCATCACAGCAATACAGGACAAGGCTAGAGAGTAGTCGAGTGATGTTCTAAGTCATTTAGCAGGTTGGCAGGTTGCTTCTTGTAGCGATGGAGATCCACAACACACAGATTGGGCCAAATGGTTTAGGGGATTAGCAAGGCAATTCTTAGATTGAGACCAGCCAGTCTAGAAGATGAAGATTTCTAGGACAGAGAGAAGAAACCCAAAATTCCACAAACCATAGAGAGCCTGAATGCCTTTGACATCATCCTCAGAGAGAATATTCTTTCTCTTGCCAGGGTGGGTATAGATGGGGTACATCAGAGCGTTGGAGTCTGTAGAGTGATGGAGGCCCAGAGCATGGCCAAACTCATGTGCAGCAACAGCAAACAGGTTACAGCCTACAAAGAGACAGAGTGTTGATGACCTAGGTAAAGGCCACACAAAATACGAAACCTAACTGATGTAATAATGCAGATGCTTTAGACTTTACTAGCTATCCTTTTCCTTACTGCTTGTTGGGTATGAGGAACAAAGCCAAAGCCGATAAGGACACCTTCCTCAAGTGGTGTGGGGTGGTTAATGTCGGGGATCATCCCAACCTGGCATAGTGCCCAATCGATGTATATTGAAGCCAAGGTGGTTGCATGATTGACTTCTGTTTTGCCCTTTGATTGTTAGGAAATCGTCAGGGGTCAGACTGGTATAGAAATGCTCTTTTTTAAATGAAAAAAAAAAGTTGTGAGATTTTGGATGGACATCTCATATCCATGTTGCCTACCTCTTATCTATCTATTGTATTTAGATAAAATGTTATATAATACAAAGCAGTAAAACATGAAATAGAGCATTATTTTATATCTAAATATATAACAATATATTTTGTTTATGACTCACTATACATTACTATATCTGAATGTATAATATGTTTTCTTCATGAACCATTATCCATTACTGTCACCACTCTACATACAGTTTACATATTCAACCATTGGTAAGCTTGGCTCCACTTTCTTTAATCGGAAAGGCAAAAAAAACCCAAACCAAAACAAAACACCACCACCAACAACAAATTGAGTCAAGACAAACCTTATATTATTGCCACACCATCCTTGTGGCATCAGCTAACTCAAGACCTCAAAAAATCGTTTTGGTTGCTTCTGTTGGTGTTTGGGGATAGGAGATGGAAATGTTTTTACCACTTGTGCATTTAAAGTTTGCAAAGCAATTTTCTCCCCAGTGGGGTATTTCTGTAACTTTGACCACTCTTCAAATGCAATGATGACAGCACCCTCGCTGCTCTCTCCTTCCATATTGAAGCTTCCCCTTTACCTGTGGAATCATTTGTCCAGCGTTCATCATCATCAAAGTGAACGTCACCACCAAGACCCTCACCCGGGGGAAAGGCGTGAGCCAACTGTCCAAGAGGCCCATCAAATGGGAAGAAATCTCCATGCTCTAAAAGGGAAACAACCCATAAAACAATTGTGGAAAACACTGTCGAAAAAGTAACAAGGGTTATCATATAGGATGGGCAATCTTTTCTTCGTTATTACCTTTGCTTCCAAAAAAGATCATGATGTCAGCAGTTCCCCGGAACAATCGAGTGAAGTTCAGCTGGGTCTCATCACTCCAAACCTTGAAAGCTGCTTGAATGGCATCATCCACAGTTGAAGGGAGCAGGTGTGGAGTGTAATTCATTATTCTGACCAATACACATATGGATGGAATTTCAGTGAGTCCTCATAGGTAATATTTCAAAGATCATTGTACATTCTTGTAATCTCCTTTTTATAGTCTTAAGTATTTCATTATAGCAATTGAAAGTATGCTATTATGCATAAAAGTTTCTTTAGAGACAGTCTAATTTGTGAAATTCTTACTCAAGACATACTTTACTTTTTTTTTTCTTCTTTTTTTATCATTTTATTAGGGGCTCATACAACTGTTATCCCAATCCATACACACATCAATTGTGTAAAGCGCATTTGTACATCGTT